CCCATTCCTTCTGTCTACACCAGGAAGTGATACACTTGGCCTGCGTAGATACTACTTTCAACAACCTGTACGGGCTGACACTGGTGGTGCTCACTGTGATGCTGGACCTGGTGCTCATTGCCCTGTCCTACGGTGCCATCCTGCACACAGTCGCAAAACTGGCCTCCCGAGAGGAACAGCTCCGAGTCTTTCAAACGTGTACGTCACACCTCTGTGCTGTGTTGATATTCTTTGTGCCCATGGTGGGGCTGTCCCTGGTGCACCGCTTTGGGAAGCACGCCCCGCCTGCTGTCCACCTGCTTATGGCTAACGTCTACCTCTTTGTGCCTCCCATGCTCAACCCAATCATATACAGTATTAAGACCAAGGAGATCCGCCACGCCATCAGCAAGCTCCTGGGTCTCAGAAAGGCCAGTGCTGAGTCCTGGGGCTAAAGTTCCCAATGGGTACACTGAAGAAGTGCCCACATCAGGCCAATGACTTACAGTTTTGATGTAAGCCATTATTTTCCATGAGCCCCACGATTTGTCTTCCACTACCCTCCATGAAATATGGGTGAATTTCTTACTTGAGTTGTGGGTTAAGAATGCTGACCTTCTCTTGCTTAAATTCTATCTCCTCTTTTGATGAGACCTAGCATTTTTGGTAATGTCAAAAATTACCCAGAGGAAGACTCTGTTAAGGGTCATCGTCAAAATTCAAAACTAAAACTTAGAGCCCAAACAAAATTTAAAAAGGAACTATAAATTAAAAAAAACAAAAACAAAAAAAAAAAAAAAACAGAACTGGCAAAGAGATTAATGTCTTGTACCAACTGACCTCAGGAACTATACCTCCTCTTGTGGCTCCTGGGCGCCTTTTCTCTACCTGGCCAAGGGCTCTCGCTTCTATTTTTATTTTAGCTAAAAAATATTTTCTGCATTCCTGCATCACTGGAAGAATCAGAACTCTTGCTCTCTTCCCTAATGGCTGATTCAGACAGAAGTCCTCCACATTTTTCTGAGATGTGCTCCCTCTGGTCCTGAAAACCAAATTACTTGGTAGTAGAAATTATATCCTCTATTAGGAAAATGCAGTTTCATCTCAGTGTTTTCATATAAAATATACTCCTCTTAATAAGAGTTTTGAACAAAAGTTGTTGCACACTGCCTGCTCTGCTCTCCGCTCTGACTGGTGAATTCTCTCACCCTCCCGCACTTCTGACTGTACCCAGTGCTTGTATAAATAAATAAATAAATCTTTAAAAAAAAAAAAGTTGTTGCACAGCTGAAAAAATTTGTATGCAAATATCCCTCATGGAAATATTGGCATTTCTTTTCCTTTAGTTGCAGTAATATGAAATGTGTCTTCCTGAGAAAGGTGTGTGGTATCTCTGGTAGGACTTATTTTAGAAGAACAGTTAGTAAAAATAAACCTTAATTTTTATGTATTTGTTGACAGAGGAGATCATTAAATATATAGTGATTGTGTGATATGAAGCAAATTTATGTAAGATATATATAATATTATTTATATAATTAATTTTGTAAAGGAAAAATCTCAGAACACAATCCCAGTTTATAATGGAAAATGTCAATAACCTTTATGGGTATACTTTTGCTAAATGTTTGCAATAGACATTGACATATGAAGAAAAATTATACCAACATCACAAATTCTACTCTGTTAATGTGTTAGTCATATGACGATCTTAAACCACATCTTTTACTTTTCATTTGAAATTAAATTTAATTAAATTCTTCTTTGATTTCTCACTCCATGGCCATATCCTAGACCTCATCGCCAGTTGGAAGTACTTCTGTCATTAACCTGTAATAGATCATTTTCTTATTGGAAATATTTATTTCCTAAATTCCCCCATTTTCTTATTCAGACTAGATTTATCTCACTTTATTTGTTCACTTTAAGTCACCACTGGAATTTTAGTGGTGAATTTAATATAACATCTACAGGTGTCAATTCATAAACTTACATAATGTCATATCACTTCAATAAAACTTATAAAAACAAAATAAAAAAGACCTGTCTCATTTTGTTCTTGCATTTTCTCCGCATTTCCCATATATATCTAGATCTAATCTATCCATGCAGATAATATTTAAAGTATCTCCTTGCTGGTTACACAGTTTCCTCTCTCTTTTTTTTAAAGTAGCAGCACAAAAAGCATATGTGCTGAAAATTTTTCAAAGCCTTAGTCTTAGTAATGGGTCACGATAAATTTTTAAGCCAATTTTTTTTCTCTTGTCCATCAGAAAATTAGCCAACAGATCATCGAAATACCAATAATTAAAACCCATTGACTTAGCAGTTTTTAATTCTCTTTAACATTGGGTACTGGAAATGTTCACTTTCTACTAGCTTTCTCTAGTCACCTTATGAAGGGATCATATCTTTGTGATCAATCTCCCCTTTATCTGCTCCCAACCCAATCTGGAACTTTTTCTCACAGTAGTTTAATCTCTTGGATTTTTGGCATCCCCTGTTATTAAATACACTGGATGTTCTGGATACAACAATTCTGTTGTATTCATTGCTTGTTAAATGCATGTTTATAAAAATGATAGTTGGTGCTCATAATAGATTAACATATTATGTGTCCAGAATATAGCTGTTTTATCATAGTTACAACTACGATACGTTAACTCTTAACAAACTCTTATAGGACACTTTTTATTAGGCAGATGTGTTTCGAAGCAATTTATACACATCAATTATTTCATCCTCATAGTAGATGTAAATTTTCATCATATAATTTCACAGACCTAATAACTCTATACCCTTGCTTGTTTCTCATATGGGTCCCTGGACATTGAGAATAGGGGATGTAATGACCTGGGTAATTGCTCCCCAGAGAACCACAGTCCCTCTCAGTTCCTCCATTTCCCAGAACTCATCACTTACAAAGAGGGAAGCAGCATCTCAATCCCAGGACTGGGGAGATGCCGCGTCAGGGTGGCAGGAACTTGCTGAAGTGAGTTCTCCCAGCCCCACTGGATGCTCAGGGTCAAGTCCACTTGTGGTGAGTGTTCAAGTTCATGAACTCTTAGCCTGGCCTTTGGAAGCAGCTTCAGAGCAGTTTCCATGAGTCCTAGCTCTACCCCACAATTAGCCTCTGGATTTGTCCCTAGTCAGTAGTCCTCCTTAACTTCCTGAAACTGGGTGATAGAAGATGTTTTTCTTAAACTTGATGACAGATGAACAAAACAAGGCCATGAATTCCAGAACATCATAATATCATAGGTTAGTCCTGCAATGCATATCTTTTCTTTATGCCCATCTGTTTAGTGGTCAGTCCTATGTCTGTGTTTCTGTACCAGATGTGACTTGAGGGTTAGTGAACCAATAACAAGGAATGATCATTCTTAAAAGAAATCTGAGGTCAATCTGACTTTTAATGACTCCTTTTGAGAATGCCTGAAACAGGAGGCAGAAAAGTGGAGGATAAATATATTCCCTGGTTGCTGAAGATTCATTCCAAACACGCAGAGCCACATTGGGAGGTAGGCATTATCTATCCGTAAAAAAAGAAGCGAAGAGTCACTAACTTAAGATGGTAAAGCCATATTGCACAGAGCAGTTACCTCCAAATACTCCTAGGGATGCAGTATTTTTTTTAAATAACAGCAAATCATTTCTCACCATTCTGGGAGTAGAGAAGTCTAAGATTAAGATGCAGATTCTGTGTCTGGAAAGATCTTTTTCCTGGTCCATGGGTGGCAGTCCTTTCACCGTTCCCTCTTAGGGAGGAAGGGGTAAGGGTTTTTTCTGGGCCCTTTTTATTAAAACAGTCACTAATCCCATTTGTGATGTCAACCACCTCATAATTTAATCACTTCCTGATGGCCCTGCCTCTTAAGATTTTCACATGGGGAATCAGGTTTCAACATGTGAATTTTGGAGGACCACAAAAACATTCAGTTCATAGCTCAAAGAGTCTTCAGTATTCTTTGTTTTTTCTTTTGTAAAAAGATTATTTATTTTTAAATGAAGTACCCTTTTCTTCATTGGACCATTTGCGATACACTGTTAACTGCAGTGCATTCTCTTCTTTCTGCTGATTTGTTGTGCCTTCTGAATAGGGTCAGGATTCTGTGTCGCCAGAGTCCTGTCTGGCAAGTGGCTGGCCATACATGTGCAAAGCAAAGAAGAACTTAATAACCAACATGCAATAGTGAGATCCCTGTAGTTTCAGCAATGGTTGAATGAAGAGTGTGCATCAGCAAGAATGCAAGACAAGATTCTGGGAAGTGTGAGAATATGAAGGTGCAAATATGTGAGCAGATGTGTGTGTATGTGCAGATGAGTTGAAAAATGCATTCAGAGGTGCTTCCTTCCCTGTAGGTTCAAAATTCTGTTGTTATTGCTGTGCTGGACCAGACAGTGCAGCTTAAAACATTTCCTCACCTTTGTTCCTCTGCCAAGGAGAATTTTCCTTTAAAGTCTGTGTAGGATTCCAGTGATGCTGCAGTGCATTCAGAAATGTATCTGAACTAGAAAGAAGCCTTGGTGGATCAGAGAGTTTGTCTGTAAGAGGTGTGAGTTGAGCGGTTGTGGATATCATCAGGGTAGAATACTCCCTCAGCATTAAAGTCTCACTATGTCTAAATATTTGCCTGACATAGATCTGACCATCAATTCCTGATGTTATTTCATATCTTATGCTGAGATGTCTATGTATGTCTGTCTTTGTAACTTTCTAGGGCAGGCAAGGCATTCATTTCTCCCTCAGCAGATCCAAGGTGCACAATTTAGAAGAATAATTTTCTGTGAGCCTTGAACTTGTTCCTGATGGAGATGATAACTTCTTTAATACTGGGAATTTCCTGATGACACCATCTGTCAAATTTAAACATAAGACCTTTGATCATCTGAACCTCTAAGCTTTGTTTTTAATCTTCCTTTTTCTCAGGATCCAGAGGTCTTTCTCCATTGTGATGTCATCTCATCAATTTTTTTCTAATTTTTAGGGTGTCACTGAGCCTATGAGATGAGATTTCAACATGAGGAGCTCCAATAATTCTTTGGAGTTCTTACCTACAGTGTTTGTTCTGGCTGGCATCCCAGGACTGGAGGCAGAGCACATCTGGATATCCATCCCCTTCTGCCTGGTCTACACGATCATCTTCCTTGGGAATGGCACCATTCTTCATGTCATCAGAACAGATGCTGCCCTACACCAGCCTATGTACCTCTTTCTTGCCTTGCTAGCACTGGCTGAGGTTGGTGTTTCTGTATCCACTCTGCCTACAGTACTAGGCATCTTTCTTTTTGGCAACACTGAGATTACTTTTGATGCATGCCTTCTCCAGATGGTCTCCATTCACTCTTTCTCCATTATGGAATCAGGTGTGTTGCTGGCAATGTCTGTGGACCGATTTGTGGCCATCTATAGTCCCCTGCGCTATACAGCCATCCTAACTCTGCCCCGCATCTTTAGCACGGGAGTTATCATCGGGCTGAAAAGCATTATACTCATGGCTCCATTGCCCATGCTCTTAAGGCGCTTGCCCTTCTGTGGCCATAATGTGCTCTCCCACTCCTACTGCCTCCACCCTAACCTTATCCATCTGCCTTGTGGAGACATAACTATCAATAATATCTATGGGCTTTTCATCGTCACTTCCACTTTTGGGTTAGATTCTCTGCTCATTGTGGTCTCCTATGGGCTCATACTCCACACAGTATTGAGTATCACCACTGGAGAGGGACGAAGGAAGGCACTCAACACATGTGGCTCACATGTCTGTGCTGTGCTCGCTTACTATGTGCCTATGATTGGCCTGTCTATGGTGCACCGTTTTGCACATCATGTGTCCCCTTTACTGCACGTTATGATGGCCAATGCCTACCTCTTCTTTCCACCTGTTGTCAACCCCATTGTCTACAGCATTAAGACCAAGGAGATCCGCCATGGCATTGTCCGAATGTTCTCACAGAAGAGAGACAGAGTTTAGGCAAAAAGCAAAATAGAGATTTTTTTTTTTTTATCATCACAGGTAGTCCTAGCTTGTATGATGTGCATATGGCGTTACCTTAAAATATGGTGTCTAACAGGAGATCCCCATTATCTATCAGTGAAGTGGAGTAAGCGTGCAAGTGGGGTGGATTAGGTATGACAGAACAGTAAAAGAATTGAGGTAATTTTAAGCCATATTGTGTGACAGGAGGATTTCCTTTACCTTGTACTGTTTGAGCAGGAATGCAAGCCGGTGCTGTATATAAATACAGTACTATCCCTAAGTAAAAAATCAGAAGTTGTTGAGAAATGTCCTGGGAAATCTATTAAGCCTCTGTTTTAGAGTAAGAGGATATGCAATAGATTACTTGCTCTTGATTTGGTGGTAACTGAGCTCAATAACAGGAAGACACACTAGCTCAAAGGAGACTACTGTCTCTGACATGACATTCACCCATTCTCACTAAGCACCAAGTTGAGATCCCAAAGATTGCAAACCCCATTCATTAGGCAAAATTATGAAGATGTCTTATGCAGGATGCAGAATTTCTCAAATGGGCAAGCCTCTCTTTTGTAGACATTGATATGTTCTGTATGATTGGATATTACTTTGTAGATATTTGGAAAATGTAAAAAAAATGCATTTATATTTTCATAAAAAGGAACTAAGTCTTTGGGATCCAAATGTGTACTAGGTATTTTATGTTTATTATTCTGCTCACTCTCCACAAGGAATCTATAGATTAGGTGAGTGCTACTTTTTTCAGACGAAAAATGATTGCTTAGACATAGTAAGCATTTTGCTCATCCCTATACAACCAACAGCTAGGATTAGAATACCATTGAGTCAAACTCCAGAGTCTAAGCTATTAACCCTAAACTTTACTGCCAAATAACAAAGAACTACAGCTCCTTGGCTCCTCCTAGCAGTCAGTTAAGTAACATTAGTTGAGCACATTCAATGAGTCAGGCACAAATCTCAACTTAGAGTAAGAAAAAGGCATTCATGATCAAGAGGTGCTACTTGGAAAAGAGAATGAGTATCAAGTATCAAAACCCACATCGACAGGGGCCAGGCCTGTGAGAGACTGCCAAAGTAATGTTCATGCAGATCTCCTTCAGCTTCTGGGGCGGCACTGAAGACTCAGTGTAATGGAAACTACAGCTGAGAAGATGGTAGCTGCAGGTGGGGAAATAAGACAGACATCTCTGGAAAATAAGCATGAAACAGCTTGAATGTTAAGCAGGTGAAATCATAGTGCAGCCCCGATATTGAACGGGTTCCTGGCTGTGGGTCCTCACCCGCGCGCTTGAAAGGGACTTATGAATACTCCACTACAGGCACACACAAAGGTTAATAAAAGGTTTATTTACAAGGGAAAAGGAAATAAGGAAAATGTACAACTCAGGGAGAAAATAGGGAAATAAAGTCTTTAATGCGTCCTACCCGATCCGACGACCTGGAAACCCAAAGTCACTCTCAGAGCTGGCCAGACTCTGCGAGCTGGCGGAGAGCCAAAATGGGGATCCCCCAAAGCCCACGTGTCTGCCTTTTATATCCACCTGGCTGCTTAACCCCACCCTCAGGTCCCAGCCACCTTCCCTTTGGTGGTGATGGGATTTGGAGTTCCCAGTGTCTTTGGCTTTGGCCTGGGGTGGGGTGGAGTCCACAAAGCCTGTATGGAATTAGCTTTAGGACATCCTTTTCCCCCTAACAATAGAAGGAATGGAAAATTACTTATTAGTTTTGTTTTAAAATTGCCTCCAACTGTGCTCTTATTGTGTTGGGGACTTTGATTTGTCACCATGACTTGTTAATAATGTATTGAGAAGTTTGCTTAACTTTTGAGGGGCACTGTCACTTTATAATATGTGCAAATTTTTCCAAACTCTTTTGATAACTAATAAATGGAAAACAGTTTCAATTGCATTAGGGTTGCAAGAATACTTTTGATAAAGTACTATGATGGAAACTACATTTGTGATGGAACCTACTATTCCATCCATCACTTTATTAAACTTGATAAAGTTAAGAGGAGGAGGCAATCTTTTTTCTTCATTTCAGCATCCCTTCTTTTTTTTAAGGATTTATTTTTTTATGTATGTATTACATCATTCTTCATATTTGTACAATGTGTGATTTCCCAGTCAAGTTCACACACCGTTTCACCTGTGCACCATCACCATAGTCCCTTGTTCTCTTCCAACCAGTCCTGATCCTTCTGGAGGGAGTGATCCTAACAAGATTGTCAATAGTATTTGTGGGCAATAAGGAATGAGAATTGTGATAAGAGGCTGACAATTTAAAAAGCAAAAGACCACTGTTCAGAGACCAAATTGTTCTTAATAAATGCTGTTTCTTCCCTTCACCAATCCCATTTTGTGATACTTTCAAGTGTAGTTCACATGTGTTTATTTTTACCTATCACAAATGTAGAAAGAAACTGCTCATGTCCAGTAGCCACCTGGGATAGCAGAGAATTCAGCTCTCTCTATAATTCCAGTGTCTCACCTCTCAGACACCATAAAAAGATTATACACATTGTTCTCTATAGTGGAAACTGTCCAGTAATTAAGAGAATGAATTAAGTCTCACATTGAAATAGAGTGAAACTTTCTAGAAACTCTTAAACTTTTGAGTCTATGAAAAATCCTTTTTTTCTTTGTTTTTTTAGAGCTGAATGACTGATCTCATTCCTTTATTTTAATTTTAATTATTTTACAACACTGTCTGTGATTCTGGCATACAGGTTCACACCTCTTCAGGTATATGTTAGCATGTCCCACCCACCAGCAAGGCACCCAGAATCCACCACATATTCTATTGAGCTCCACGCCCACTTTTGCTGGGTTCAGCCTCGCCTTCTGGTAGCCCATTGTGTAGTCCATTTTTAGGGTTTGTTTTAGTTTAGTTTTGTGTGTTCCTTTGTTTCCTCATAGTATACATATGAGTGAAATAACCCTTATTTGTCTAACTCCTCTGATATTTTTTGGTTATATAATCCCCTCCATTTCTATCCATGTTGTTGCAAATAGCAATATAGCTTATCATTTGTGCATGTGTGTTTGTGTGTGAGAGAGAGAGAGAGTGTGAGTGTCTGTGTGTCTACTTCTACTCACCACACAGCTTGAGAAAGGCTCATATCAATGGATCAGAAACAAAAAGTGTGGCCCAGATATGGAGGAAAAGGAAGCCCTGTCCACTCTTGGTGGGAATGTACACTGGTCCAGCCTCAATGGAATACAATATAGGTGATTCTCAAAATATTAATAAATATACCATATGATGCAGCAATTTTTCTCCTTGGTATCTATCTGAAAAATGTGCAAAACTACTTCCAAGGGGTACTTGCACATGTATGTTCACTGCAGCACACTTCACAATAACCAACTTACGAAAGAAAACTAAGTGCCCAGCAGCAAAAGAGGAATGGGGAAAGATCTTGTGCATAAGATCTGAAAGAAGTGACCCAACCTACAATAGGTCTTTTCAAAAAAAAAAAAAAAAGGTTTTCATGACAAAGCAATTTTTTAATGGTTTGGAGCCCCAATTTTAGTATTATATCCAAGGGTGATTCCAGAGCATGCAATCTGGTGTTAGAGTATAACTCTGAGTATGTGTTCCATTTCAGTCTTCAAGGGGTACTGATTCAATTTCTCCCAAATTATGACATCAGATTAAACAGCTCAACATCAATTATGCATTCAGAAAAGTTATTAGAAAATAAGTAATATCCTTACTGCATGAGAGTCCTTAGCAATAGGAGCTTTGAATGCTTACATTGATTTGTATTTCTTACTAGGGTTTACCCTTAAGTACTTTATCCATTCAGAATTTTTCGTCATAAATAGTGAAATGAGTACAAATATAACAATTGAACAATTTTTCTTTATAAAGTTCTTTTGATATGGCTTTCACATTGAACTAATTTATAAATAAAAAAATATTATCACCTTATCTAGAGGTTCACTGAAAAGTGAAAGCTCCATGATAGGTTGTATGATATTCCTCCTATCCACAATTATCCTATTCCTTCTAAATCCATGCCAGCTTTGCACTTCTTATACAAGAAACTTTTTCAGAACTATTTTATTTTCACTAATGTGCACTCAACATCAAGACGTAGTTCAAATCACATTCAACAGGCTGGAAGACAGGTCTTCACTGGGACTTCCTGACTGTTGCTCTGTGAGGACACCAAGGGCAGCAAAGCCTCTGACAAACAGAGCTGACTTTCTGAATTCCCAGTGGGTCCAGCTCTCAGGACGCCTCCTCATGTAAACCTGAGGGATTTGCCATTTCCTCACCTCCTGTCTAGAGATCTGTAGAGTTTATAACATTTGCCCCACAAACCTCACAGAGAACGACACATCTCTGATAGTGAAGAGAGCACCGTAGACAGGAGAACCCACAGGTAAGTCTCCTCTTTGAATGACTGGAGGAGTGGGGAGAGGGGAAATGATTATAGTGGAGGAGGAAAAGAATTACTACAGATGAAGCACTTAGAGCAGTACCTGAATGGAGATTTTGATCATCCTTTCCTGGCTGTACCCTTACTGTCCTCCAAGGCACCTGCACTCGCTTCCAGCCATGGATATTGAGGACAAGGAATCCACAGAGTCAGACCACTTGAGCTAATGTGAATGAGAAGACAGATTACATATAAGGGATGACTCAGGGAAATAATGACTACAGTGTGTGTACAGGTACATGGGCTGGTGGAGGGAAGGGTCTATGCGGATCACAGTGAGAATGGTGGTGTTGCCCACGATGGAGATGGCGTAGAGACAGCAGAAAGTGATGGAGATCCAGATGTGGTAAGGGAGAATTAGAAACCTACTTCTTGGGCCTCCCCGGTGGCGCAGCGGTTGAGCGCTGGGTTGCGAAGCTGCCCGCAGCCTCTGCGGCACCGGTTCGATCCCCGGCTGCTCCCCGGCCACCGGAGGAGGGTCCCACATGGCGCGCAGACCTCTCCTGCCGCCCGCTGCACTTCGGTC